TTTTTTTTTTTTTTTTTTTACAGTAACCTCGGTTAATTCCCTGAACCGTAAAGACATATGTTCATGCAACTTTATCTAATCTAACATAAACTGGATGTCCTCACTGCTCACATACATTTTTAAAATCCTGCTAACTCTTTGTCTTGGTAAATCATAACGGGCAGTTCTGCAGGCTACTCCCACATTGAGTGGAGAAGCATTTCCAAATGTATTGTTTTTCGTAGTTTCATAGTTTCATAGTTAGTAGGGTCGGAAGGGACCCGAGCAGATCATCAAGTCCGACCCCCTGCCATGGCAGGAAAGAGTACTGGGGTCAAACGACCCCAGCAAGGTGATTGTCAAGGTGATTTCAATTTCACTTAAAGTCCTCCTGTTCTTGTGTTGTGAGAAGAAAAACAGGCATGCTTGATTTATCTTCCCTATACCTTTCTGTTTTTTAAATGAATGTTTATCATGTCCCTTCTATTTAGACTTTTGTGTATAACAAATAGTCTTATCTTCATTCTGTGTCTCTGGACTACTAAAGACCAAAATCAAACATAGCATTCCCAAGTGACTGATTTATAAAATGGCTTCCTAATATATTCAGTATTATATTACCCTTAAACTTCCTAATATTTTGATAGGGTTTTTTTGACTGTCACCAAGCACTAATCTGCTGTTTTTAATCATCCAGTTGTCCACAGTGACTGACCCAAGTCTTTTTTGTGAGGGGCTACAATTTATCAAAAATCCAGCTATGTCTGTATTTAAACTTATTTATCCATTCTCTTTTACCAATAACTTATATTTGTTAACAATGACTTTGACATGTGACCTTGTTGCTCAGTTGCCTAGTCGTCTTTAACTTAACGGGGCTGTTGACTAGATTTAATAAATGGCAAGAACTAGACCAATCTGGTGACATCTGCTATCACATACCATAGCAACTTGCTATCATTCTCTCACAGTTCTAATTTTTGTACCTCCAAGATAAAAACTGGTTCATATCCAGGTATACCATTCATTTTTTCATTCTATCATGTTTCAGAAATGCCTACTGTGTCAAAATTCTGTTTCACTGCCAGGCATTCTGGAACAACCATTTTTCCTATACATTTTTTTAGATTTGGATATAGGCAGTAAAAACATCCAGATAGCAGAGCTATTTTCTTACCTCAAGTAGATAGAGGTATTTGGTATCTTACTGCTGCACAGTAATTGTGGATATTTTTAAGTGCTGACTATTCTGCCACATTTTTTACCTGCAAAAGTAGGCATACATACATACATACATGCATGCATACATGCGCGTGCACACACACACACACACACACACACTTCCTGTTGATGGAAATTAGTACATATATGTTTTAACATATAGTTCTTTTCACTTTAGAATAAGCTTAAGAAAGTGAGGAAATTTACATTCCTGAATGGCTGGACTGTCAGTGCTGAAATGATAGCCCTTGCTCCCCCTGAAGCTCAGTACCACTGGCAATTCCAGCCATGGTCAGCCAAGATCCAGTAATCAAAAGCAGATCTAAAAATGAGGGGTAAAAAACGTGGAGACAAAATGCACTCTTGGCCTGCTCCAAATACCACTGACATCAACGGGAAATCTACAGACTTCAGTAGGCTTTTGGATCAGGCTCCTGAATGATTAAGGGTGGTGCAAGGCCCTACACCACTGAACTTCTACGGCAAGATTACGGGGGGTGCTGAAAGGATCACAGCATCCTAGGGCACTGATAGAGATTCTGGGGGCTGATACTGATAGATGATTTTTAAGGAGGTATATTGGCTGATACTGATACAGTTTTCTGATATGCAGCCTGGCAGCTTGAAGAGCTGTGTGCGGCTGGTAAGTCTGTTATGGTGGAAGGGGTGTAGGGGGGAAGATGGAGGCCCACTGCAGTGAGGGAGGGAGTGGGGCTGGTGCAGGTGCGAGATGGAGCTGTGGCTTGTCTGGGTGGTGCAGGGAGGGGAGAGGGGGCTGCTCCTACTGCTGTACGCACCTGAGGGTATGGGGGGATGGGGCATGTGTCCACCTGCTAGATCTGTGCAGGATGTGGCTGGGTTGTGGGCTGGGCCGGGCTGCACTGGGGGCGGGTGGAGCTGGAGCTGGAAGGAGGGTTATGGGGTTGGGGGTTGAAGCCACCCCAAAATTCACCATAGCCCCCCTCCCACTGCTGCTACTGCCTGCCCCGAGTGCAGCCCCAGCCCAATCCCCCCCAACCCATGCGCTGGGAAGAGCCTAGTGCAGCCTCAGCCCCAGCCTACAGTCACCTTACACAGATCTAGGGGCACATGCCCCCCTCCCCCACCGTGCCCTCCTGGGGTGTGTGCAGTGGTGGGAGCCACCCCCTCTTCCTGCAGCTCTGTCCTGCACCCCACCCCACCCACGCAGTGCCTGCCCCAGCTCCACTCCCTTCCTCAATGTGGAGGCCTTG